TAAAGGCAACATCTAAATATGGTTGTATAGAGGATTTTCTTCTTTGGCAAGACATCAGGTAAGTTTGGTTAGGTTTATTTCGGTGAAATTCTAAGATGAAAGGAAGTATTTTAAATACTATTTTAAGATTTTCACAACAAAATTTTGGAAAATGTATAATTTATTCATCTTGATATACTTGCATGCAACGCACACTTTACAGCTAACACACATTTACTGCTTTAATTTTTCTGGGATGATAGGGATAGAAACATTTTGTACAGATGAATGCATAATTTATCCTGATTTTTTTTTCTTTCGAGTTTATAATGATTAAGCAGTGATATACAGCTGCAAAAGTAAAGTAGAGAATGTCGGAGAAGCCACTGAATTTATCCTAAAAGTTTTGTGAAAGCTGCTGAAGACGTGTGATAGTTATATTAACCTTGTCGTGTGACCTACAGAAGATATAACTATTGGAAAACTTAGGTATTCCCCTGGGATGCATCATGTGCATAACCGAGGCAAATACATTTCTGTGCAAACATAGAGAGAAAAGTTAGTGTGTGGTAGGTGTCGTAGATTCTCTGGCACAATACACACACACAAATAAGATTAGTTTGTTTTAGTGAGTCTAGTTGGTGAAATTCTTAGATGAAGTATTTTTAATGTTTGTTTTTGTTGTTTTTTTTCAGCTGATGTTTCACAAAAAATTTTTTAAAATTTTGCAACATGAATTATGATAGGAAAAACAAGCAAACTGTATGATTTTTTTTTAAAGCCAAATCTATGAACTGTGGACTAAGATTCATGCAATTCGACCAAATACTTGAATCATCATAAGGAAAGTTAAAGATTATTGGTGATACTCCTCTGGTCCACATGGACCAGTAAGTCCCTTGTTGTATTTAAAGTTTGTTATAACTACCTTTCAGCTAGCTTGCCAGACGGCACCCCTAGAGTTCACACGAGGAAGTTAATTGTTTCATCACTAAAAGAAAAAGAACTTGTGTTAAAATTCCAAAAACTTGCTACTTGAATCCTCTGTTCCACACATTATGAATGAAATATGGTATAAAATATGTTGTCTTTCAATTTCTAACTTAAATAAGACTATACTGTACAAAAATATATTTCTGTCAAACGTCTTTTAGTAAGTTATAAATTGAGGAATTAACAGAAATAATTCCATGATTTATGTAGACTATTCTGGAAGTAAGAGCATTCAACTACAGAACTGAATTATTATCAAGGAACAAAGATATATTTGTTACCTGTATGTTACAGTGTGGAACAAAGATATATTTGTTACCTGTATGTTACAGTGTGGAACAAAGATATATTTGTTACCTGTATGTTACAGTGTGGAACAAAGATATATTTGTTGCCTGTATGTTACAGTGTGGAATAAATATGTTGGAGGTGGTGCTAGTGCAACAAGTTAGTTAATCTGTTGGAGGTGGTGCTGGTGTAACAAGTTAGTTAATCTATTGGTGGTGATGCTAGTGCAACAAGTTAGTTAATCTGCTGGAGGTGATGCTGGTGCAACAAGTTAGTTAATCTATTGGTGGTGATGCTAGTGCAACAAGTTAGTTAATCTGCTGGAGGTGATGCTGGTGCAACAAGTTAGTTAATCTATTGGTGGTGATGCTAGTGCAACAAGTTAGTTAATCTGCTGGAGGTGATGCTGGTGCAACAAGTTAGTTATGTTGGAGGTGATGCTGGTGCAACAAGTTAGTTAATCTGCTGGAGGTGATGCTGGTGCAACAAGTTAGTTATGTTGGAGGTGATGCTAGTGCAACAAGTTAGTTAATCTGTTGGAGGTGATGCTGGTGCAACAAGTTAGTTAATCTGTTGGAGGTGATGCTAGTGCAACAAGTTAGTTAATCTGTTGGAGGTGATGCTAGTGCAACAAGTTAGTTAATCTGTTGGAGGTGATGCTAGTGCAACAAGTTAGTTA